TAATCCATTGTGTATGCATAATATTTGGATTAAATATTATCTGCCATTTTGTTATCCACTCACTTGCTATTGCAAGGACTTATGAAACTGCCTCCCTCCTGCAGCTGTAAGCATACAGTGAGACTGTGTTTTGTCAAGCTCTGTTTGGCAAAGAAAACAAGTTTCATGAGTCAGAAAAGACAAGACTTTCTCAAAGTACTGGTATCGTGTGTCTTTTCTGTAGTTCTTGGAATAGTTCTCACAAACTTGCCCTGATGGGGAACAAATGCTGCAGGTGACGTTTGTGATAACTGAACTAAGGGTACAAGTATAATCCTTGTTCCCTATGAAGTGTGAGATCCTCATTCTCTGAAAACCAGTGCTTGTTCTACTTCTGATGCCCATAATCTTCATTCAAACCACAGAAACTCCATTGTCGCAACTGTTTTAATGGTTGGTTGGCCAACACTAACCAGGACTGCAGGGCATGTGTACAGTGTGCACATGGCTGTGCTGTGGAGAAAGATGGCAATTTACCTCTGCACTGCTCAGCTGCTCATCTGTATGAATCAACTTGGCATTAAAAAGCATAACAGTGATCCTACTGTACCGTGCTAATTCTGTGTGCTAGAAGCACTGGTCTACAGAGAGGCAATTATGCATTTATTGTGGCTGTCCATGAAGTGGTTATCATATTCAAGCCCTGTATGCTGCAGTCTCACTAGATGCTCATCCTGCCATAAATTAATAAACAGGAATAGATCACAACAGTTTGCTAGTTGATGCCCTAGCAGAAGTTGAAAGAAGCAAATAGAAAACAGAACATAAAGAGTTTTGAAAAACACCTTCAAATACATCTGCGTGAAAGATGAGGAAAGGTAACAGGCTTCTAGCAATGCAGACCTGTCCCAAAGCAAATCGAGTTAGTGTGATATAATGAATGTGGGCTATATTTCCAGAAATCATAGTGTAGTTGAAGTGCCCTTGGCATAAGTTTTAGTATCTTTTTATCTTTAGTAATGCAGACTGCAGGTGGTGGATTTGGACATGAGGAAACCAAAAGGGGATATAGGTGGTACTATTAGCATATGTTAAAGAGAAATGACAGTATTCTTTGTCACATGAAATAGTGCTTCTCCCTCATGACAGATCTTGTCTCTTAAAACAGTCATCTAAAGGTGGTGGGCTTTTTTTTCCTTTTGTTACTAGAATAACTCATAATTAAAAAGAAAAAAATTAAATGCTTCCAGTGCAAGAGTCCCCAAATTTATTTTTTTCACTGTGTGATGTAGCTACAACATTAATTAGTGAAATTCAGGTGGAATGAAAAGAAGTTTTGCTGAAGACAGCATAGTGCACAAAGTACACATAGTGCATCCATAAAATAGATAACTGAGTAGGCAGCATCTTTCTCTGTAATTCTTGTAACTGACTACGGGTTTTCACTTGAAATATAGGTTTTCATAATGAAATTATACTACATACTTGCTTTTATTTCTCTGACCATGTGCGTCTCAAAACTGAGCTAATTTGGTTTCTTTCTTGCTGAAAATGTATTTATTCCAACTGAGTCAGAATCCAGTGTGCATTCTAGACCCCAGAGGAATTGTTTGTTCTAAGAATCAGCTACGTGGGATGTGCAGTGAGTCCAGACTCAGGCCTTTGAACAAATTGTTCAGCTGAAAGGGGGAGGGTAACTTCCTTGTACTACAAAGTGTCAATTTTCATTTCTCTTTAAATAATATCTCAATTCAAATGGTACATGGTTCTCAGGTCAGAGGTTGGTATATTCAGTTTTAGCTATAAGGTCACGTTATGGCTGGATCCTTAACAGAAGCTGTGAGAAATGTAATCTACCTCTCAGAAGAGCACTGTAATTACTGTGTCCTAACGAGCATGACAATGCAAAGATGCACTGACAGCATATGTTTCAATAACATGTAGCCTTTGCACAACATTTAATCTCCAATATTTTGCAAAGACTAAGTGAATGTCACCTATCTGGAAACGTGTAGCTACATTTTTTTACTTTCATTTTGTAAAGCATTGTACTGATTGTTAAGTAGCCTGAATTTCTCTTGGTTTCCAGAATAAGCCAAGGGCTTTTCTAGAACTGTGCCTTTAAATGATTTAGCAGCTTTCATATACACACAGCTAGTGTATACAAAAAGACATAGTCCCTTCCCCTCTGAGTTTTAAATCTGAGGTCCTCATCCAGCAACATTTCTCTGAGTATTATATTTTTATACATGTGAGAGGTTCACATAAAACTTCCACTGGGAAATATTTACAGAGAGACCACACCTGCTGAGCTTCAGCCTTCTGGCAAGTGCACCATAGAGGCCAAATGGGAATTCATGGAGGAGAAAGGTTGCCTGCATTTAAAAAGGGTGGGAAGCCTCCAAGCTCTGAAGCTATGTGCAAGTTTGTATTTGGATAACCCGATAGCTATGCATATAAATCATCAGGGAAAACTAATGTGCATGTGCAGTATATCAAACATCTTGAGGTCTCAGCCATGACTTTCATATGCACCAAAGTGCACATTCTTTACTGAAGGTTGTATGCAATGAGAAAAAGTTTAAAAAGATACATTTTTGGAATGTATCTGAATGCAGAGACCATTGACTCACTTTCTTTAGTAACTGGGAAGCAATTTTTGTGTTCTGTCAAGGATTTCTAGAGGGATTTGTGAATCAAGCAATCTTGAGACAATGCAAACCAAAATTTAACATTGACATTTGGAAGAAATGAAATGGAAGTGCTATTTCAGCCACAGCCTCAATTTCTAATTTTTTTCCCCAGCCACAATTTTTTTTCATGGAACCTACTCTAATGTGTTTTTAAGAAGCTATGTCATGTTTTACAGATGGAAAACACTACAAATGAAGTATATATCCTTTGTCTTGTTTGTTAATTCCATGCTACAACTTTAAATTTCACATTACTTCTTTCTTATTTTTTCTGATTACAGACATTAATGTCTTTATACTGGCTTTGGCATGGTATGTAGTATTTATGTCCTCAGGTTGTTCCAGTTGTCTTAGTAAGACTGAATGCTCTACAGCTCTTGCCAGCCTTGCAGTGGCAATACAGATTCCTGAACACCATAGGTTTAGTTCAAGGTATAATTAAAAGACTGCATGAAAACTTTAAATCTGCTTTTATATTCAGCTTTTTTTTTTTTTCCCCTCTTAACTGAATCACGTACTGTAACAGCCTGCTCATTTCTAAAGAGCAGTGATCCCATCTCCTGCAGAGGCTGCTCCACTACGAACTCACTCCTGAAAGGTGCTGATTGTTCTGACCCTCATTCACTGAAGTCCTTACATACTTAACTTCCGGACTAAGATCAGTGTCTAATACTTTTCAGGATATATAGTTTTGTTCTAAAAAGGATCATTCATTCTTTGCTCCTGTCAGAGGATAGGTCCTAAATAAAGGAAATAATCTAGCCTTTGGTTAGGACAGAGACTATTACGCTGGAGTGGAGTACCCTAAAGTGAGCTCAACTTACAGTATCCCATCTGCTCTGCTCTAAAATGGTGTCAAGATTATGATAAGATGTATATTTCTGTGTTAAAGTTAAATTAATAACAAAAATAAATTAATAGCAAAAAAAAAATCAAGAAGTTTTAACTTTACTATTATTTCATCAAGCAATAATGAACTGGGAATTTGACCAGTATACTAAAAACATAACCAATAAAGCCTACATTATTTTATAATTAAGCACATAGATATTTGTGAAAAATAGTGAAATAACTGATTCATGTATGTGATTACTAATGTACCAATAAAACTGAAACCTGTTCTTGGAAGATAGTACAACTCAGAGTTAGGACTTAGACAGTAACTTAATGGGTGTACTGAGAGAAGAACAGTAAACTATTTCAAATATACTGGGGCACGTTCTTCAGAAAAGGAAAAATTTTTGATTATTTACACTAATATATAAGGGCCCCCCTTACATAGGCTTGCCTCATTTCAGCCAACTGAAGTAAAGGTCTAAAGCCTGAACCATTTCAGGCAAGTTGCAAAGAGGAAGAGGGGTCTCTTACCTATGTTGCTTACTTACTCTTACTTTCCCTGAAGTCAGGATCTCAAAGTGCTTTCTTGAGGACAACCATAAAACTGTGGCTTTCACTACAGCACCCGTTGCATCGCTGTTGCTCTCAGGAGAACAAATTTATTCTCCACAGCCACACCATCTTGTAAACTGCTGTGACAAGACAAACCTTTCTCATGCCCCAAGAGAGGGAGTGAACTATTTCTGTAAGCACACACTTATTTAATACATATGTACTTAAATAAGAAGGATCATAAAGACATATGTAGTAGATCCACTGATTGTAGTCCCTAAAGCCATGGTTTGATGTGCAGTGGTGCCACCTCAAGTCACTCGCTTCTGTAGCTGTAGATGTTTGTGGAATGTTTTAAAGATACGTTTCTTAAGTTTGTAAAGTAATAAATAATGGCCAGTCTTCGCGAGCGAAGATCCGGGGAAGGTCTTTCCACCTTCCAGCCTGCGCATTGGATTTTTTAGGTGAGACACAGTGTGCGCGGAACTGAGCCCACCCTTTAATCCTAAGGTTCATCTGCCGGGGCCAAGCGAGCTTGGACAGTGGCAGCGAGGTCCTTAGGACGTAGGTGGGTTGCCTTTAAGGGCTAACGAGCCCCACCTGCCCGGGAGTGGCCCTGACCGGGAATCGAACCCGGGTCTCCGCGGTGATAGCGCCGCGCCTTTACCACTAGACCACCAGGGGCTCAAGTTTGTAAAGTAGTTGCATGAGAAAAGCCAGACCAGCAAGAGGGGCTGGAATGAAAAGGAAAAACACTCAAAAAGGATGGAAGTTATTAAGGCATAACATGCTATGTTATGTGTATTGTTTTGTTTCTTAGGAATGGACTTGCATGTATTTACAATACTATTTGCTTACTATTCTGCAGTGAGGACACTTGTCCCTTAACTAATTTCATTCTTGAGTTTCAGCTTTTCTGTGATTTCTTATATTTCCCAGGTGCTGGAGAAGTGATTCCCCTGCAGCCCATTGTGAAGACCATGGTAAGGTTGTCCCCTTGCAGCCCACAGAGGTCCACAGTGGAGCAAATATCCACCATGGAGCAGATATCCCATAGAGGAACTCATTACAGAGCAGGGGAATGCCTGAAGGAGGCTGTGACCCCTTGGGAAGCCCATGCTGGAACATGCTCCTAGCAGGACCTGTGGCCTCATGGAGAGAGGAACCCATGTTGGAGCAGGTTTGCTGGCCCTGTAGGGGACCCATGCTGGGGCAATCTGTTCCTGAAGGGCTGAACCCCCTGGAAGGCACCACACTGGAGCATTTTGTGAAGAACTGCAGCCGGTGGGGAGGAGCCATGTTGGAGAAGTTCATGAAGGACTGTCTCCTGTGGAGGGACTCCACACTGGGCAGAAGACTGTGAGGAGTCCTCCCCCTGAGGAGGAAGGATTGGCAGAAGCATGTGATGCACTGACCACAACCCCCATTGCCCATCTGCCTGCACTGCTGGAGGTGAGGAGGTATAGAATTCGGGAGTGAAGGTGAACCTGGGAAGATGGAGAAGTGGAAGGAAAGTGTTTTTAGATTTGTTCCTATTTTTCATTATACTCCTCTGATTCGATTGGCAATGAATTAAATTTGTTTCCCTAGGTGGAGTCTATTTTTCCCATGACCAGTAATTGCTGAGTGATCTCCCTTGTCCTTATCTTGACACAGGAGCCTTTAGTTTTATTTTCTCTGCTCTGCCCAGGTGAGGAGGGGAGTGATAAAAAAGACTTCTGTGAGCACCTGGTGTCCAGCCAGATTCAACCCACTTCAATCAGTAAGAAGACATTTGGTAGGCGCAATCTTTGGGCATGTGACAAGACAGCATTTGTAATGTTAGCCGAATAATCTGTAGTGATTTAAAATCCTATTGTAGTTTCTGTATCACTAGTTTCATTATTTGATTAAAGTCCAGCAGAGCATTAAGGATTACATTTGACTGAGCATGAATGATTTACAATTAGTTAGAAAAAATAAAGGTATTAAGGAATGTGCCAGGTTAATTTATTTGACAAATGAGTGTAAAGCTACTTACACAAACATTTCAAAAGAGAGAAGCACCTGGTTCATAATGTATTTTGTAGAAGCAATGAAAAAAGTAATTATTGAGAACTGTAAAAACACTGCCAGGAGGTATAGCTAAGATCTAGCTCACTAGGAATGCAGGGGCTGACTTCCACTGCATCTCACAGTTGTGCTGGGTCCCTCCCCTGACTAACCCACTGGGTGACAGTCAGTAAGCTGAGGAATCCACAGGTAGGGAAGATGTAAGCTATACATGGCAGTTAGGGCATGGTTTGGTATCCAGCCTGGGGTTTGTACAAGGGGATAATTGTAATTCATTTGTATTACAGTATCTGCTAAGGCCAAGCTTTTAGTGTTTTCCAGTTTAATGTCAATAATACTACAGTAATGTTGATACCTAGCTTTTTAAAACACTACTCATTTTTAATTTGTTTATGTTGGTGACATTTCTTATTTTACAGCAGTATAGGAAACACCTCGTGGTGACTGATTTAAGCCACTTGCTGTCTGTTTTTACTTGATCGTGATATTGCTTTGTCAACAGGATCAACAGCATAACTTGCAACATTGCAAATGTAAAGAAATAAACTTTTCTAAAAAGTCCAACTGTGAAGATTCATCTCTGTGGGTGTTGTTGGGTTAGGTTGTCACATTCAAGTATTATAAAGCATTTATATGTTCCATATCTATCATTTCACAAAGATATTGTGTTCCACATATCTTCAAAGTCCTAAGTATTTTAGTTAAACTTCTAAACTTTGAAGAAAAGCTAGGCTGGGCATCTGGCCACACTGAAGTGGGATGACAAAGAGGTAATAAGCCTTACAATGATAATATTCAATCATTTCTAGCTTCTGTTAAGGACAGTGTCCTTTTTTTTTGGTCACTTCTTCAGCATAGAGACTATTGCCTCTATAGCTGGGATTTTTTTCCAAATATCTTCTTATCAGGTGAGAAGGACAGGCAGATTATAGGAAAGGTAGTACAAATGGAAAGTATATCGATGCTCATCTGACAAATAAACAAACAAACAAGCCATGCTTTTACCATAAAAACTGCACAGGCTATCTCTTCACTTCTGCTAGTCTCACTCAGTGAGGCTGTCTGCAGACACAGGATCTGAATCCCTGCTTCTCTCTATAGACCTTGGGGCTTGGTATTTTTTATGCTCCCTAAAGAAGGTAGTGCTTCACTTTGCAGTTCTTGACTCCACTGGGAACTGCGTTTCCCACAAGGAGCAGAAACACCTCTTTTGTTAAAAGAGCAGTGCCCTGCTAAGAACATGTCTAGAGACTGGCCACATAACTTCCCCTAAGAGACGTATTTTTTTCCCTAACCTTTGCTTCATAATTCTCATTATTAAAAAAGATAAAATGATCGAGGACTTCATCTAATCAAAGGCTCTTTATCAAAAGCAGCCATGAACTGAGGGAGGCCAAGGTCTTAATCTGCAATCTGACTCCACTCTCCCACACTGAGCTTTTGCCTAAACTTGCAAAATCTCCCCATTACACCAGAAAAGGGCACAGGGTGGTTTCTGGCCTCTCCCAGAACTACTTCTGTCTGACCCTGGGAGTGGTCAGGGGAAGTCTGGGAGTTTAGCAATGAGTCATTCTTCTGCTTGAGACTTCTGAGTCCAGTCAAACCTACAGGTTTCAGTGCTCCTAAAATGCAATCGTAGATACTATTTTGAATGGCTAATACTCCCCATCCACTTCATATCCTAGTGGTTACCAAGTAGCTACCAAGTAATTTGGAGCCTTGTGCTCAGCTCCCTTCTCAGCCTGATGTGGCTTGATGGCCTCATGGTGTCTTTCATACCTTCCATGTCTCACAAGAGTGCTTGACTAGCTGGGCTGAAGCTACTGAAACTGCACTGCAAATAGGGACAGAGAAGGTAAGGAGTACTTTGATGTTCCTTCAGCTTGATCTACACTCACTTCAGAAATGACGTGAGCTTATGAGGTTTGTCTAAATTGGAGAGGAATTGCATGAGAAGCAATTCCTTTAATTCAAGACTCTGGACCCTATCATGTAGCAGAGTACCTAAATAAATAAGACAGTTGGAACAACTGTACTTGGTCAAACCAAAAACCCACTTAGCTCTAAGCACAGTTGCCAAACTTGCATTAAGTACTTCATGAGCTCACAGTTTCCTGCAGCTCATGAAGGTGAACAAAAGGAAGCACAAGAAATAAGCACTGGTGTTCAAATGAAATGCTTGCCTGCACCCCTAAGAGAAGCATACTTTGTTAGGACAAAGAGTGGCAAAGAGCCAGAACTGCTGGAGACAATTCCTCATTAATACATGGCATAATAGATGTTAAAAAATAAAGGTTTATTCTCAAATTTTTAAAAAAAGTATGATTAATAGAATATTCAGTTGGATCTGCATCTTCAAGATTCAGATATTGTCAGAGAATGTGTTTTCTGCAGCAAAAAAATATGACCTCTTCTGGAGTACTAAGAGCTACTCTTTTTACTCAGCTTGTTCCATTTCTGAGAAAATTTCCTGAGATCATCCATCCCAGTTCTCATGTCTCAATTGAGGGAGGTGCTTTTATGTCTAAAATATGTCAATAACATCCTCAACTGTAAAGAAAACTGTGCTCTCTGTCTCTTCTGTTGCCAGCAAAAGTTAAACCGGGTTAAAAATCAAAACGGTGACTATTAGTAAGCATTTTAGTGACAGCTCCTGGAGTACTCCCTCAGTAGATGCTGGCTCAGGAGCTAACTACTAGGTTCCCAACAGCTAACCAAGCTAGAGAAAGTGCATTTACATTAAAAGTCTGAAACAGATTTTGCTTCCATGAGTTTGTCCAAGCCACTTTTGATTTATGTGAATTTTTACTATCGACAACATTTGAGGAGTTTCACAGGTTAATTATGTATGCATGCAAAGGTACTTCTTTTGTTTATTTTGAATCTGCTACTTGGTTGTTTAATTTGTTGTTGCTTCTATTGGAAAATACTGAAAAATCATTCCCTGTTTCCTATCTCTATACTACACAGGATTTTATAAACCTTTATCTTTTTCTTCTAGATCAGCTGTTTTCCAGAATGAGTTTTCCATTTTCTCATATTGAACCTGTGTGATACTTTGCTTTTTCTTTGTTACCATTCCCTTGACTTATTATATAATTTCTGAGATGGATGAAGAGAACTGCACATTGTATTCAAGATGTGGAGACATCTTAAATTTATTTTATGGTGGTATAATAATATTTTCCTTTTTTTTTCCTCTGTTCTTTCCTAATAATTCCTAACTTTTTGTCGGCTTTGACAGCTGTTCAACACTGAGGTGGTATTATCATAGAACTATCCATTTATATGGCATGATTTCAGACTGTAATGATAATCATTACTCTGGGTGAACTGCTGTATATGTTAAGATGAAATTGTTTCTTCCCATATATATCACTTCATGGTAATCTCTACCAGATTTTATCTACCATTTTATTGCATGGACACTCAGGGAGTATCAATCACATCACACTTGCTGTATATTTTTGCAGCTCTTCATAATGGCCATTATTTTCAATTTACCTCAGCAACTAACTTAATACATCTGCAAGCATTGTCCGTGGTACCTACTTTGTTCTTGAAGGCTTTCTTGGATTTAGCTTATGTTGTGAGAGTTTGAAAGAAAAGAGTGTACTGAGAAAATCTTCAAGAAACTCATGCTCATGGGAGGAAAATGTTCCCCATTCTTCCTCTTCCACACTGGGCTCTGGCTCCTTTTAGAAACAGAAGGTCCCATGGCACTCAAAGGGGGATGCTGAGGTACTAGTGGTAACCTTTCCCGTTTCTTCCCTAGGTAACTGGATGTCTTCTGCAGTCAGAGAGACCTAATACATCAGCCTTCATATATCATCTCCATGAACTAAATTGCCAGGAAAATTTATTACCTAACTTCTGAAAAATTCCCTGAGAAAACAAACAGATGCCTAGACTTGTGAATGCAGAATGCCATATTCAGAGTAGATAAGCAAAAAGCTAAAGGCAAAGGTAATATATTAAAACTTGCTCTTAGTAAATAAAATGGGAATTTGGCTGTTTCCTTTAATGAATGACCAAATGCAGTGGTTAATCTTGGGAATGACAAACTCTCCCACGCAGGCACAAGGATGCTGAAATGCTCTCTTTCTTGTCCAGCATGCAGGTTCCCTGATTCCTTGCTTACTCTCTGCACGAGCCTTCTCAGCCCTTTTCCCTTCTGGCATAGAATTGATGTTGGACCTTGCAGAGAGAAGCTAATTTCTCACACGTCTTCTTTCCTTAACCATCAACTCCTGCAGCCTCTAACCCAAAAAGCTATGAAAAAGATTTCTAGTACTAGAAATTCTCTTTATTCTGGGGATGGGAGCCAAGGGGGAATTTCCTACCCCTTCATCTCAAGAAGGCATGGGTTCTCATTTACTAATCCTGTCCATGTTCTCAGGCACATATTCCCAGATTCACAATTTTTCTCTGACTCCCTTCTGCCAAGCCCACTACATTCAGCACCTAATTTCACTAGCCAGAGTTTTCTTTGGCAAAACTGTAAAGGGTCTTAATTTGCTGATATCATTTGTCTAGTTGATTATTGTATTTTTTTTTAATATGATTGATAACTCTACCAGAATTGCTATAGCTATAAACAGAATTATGGATAATTCTTTAAAATGAAAAATGTTCAAATACATTATGGTACTCTGCTTTTGCCCTTAATTATTAAAGTATTTTATATACTTTCAAATAATTTACTATTATGTAAGAAGGAGTTTGATAGTCAGATAGAAAAAAATGAAGGTTTCCAAACTCAGATCAAAACCCATGTTTTTCACTTGAAATGTGAAATTACAAGTCTGAGTTTGACAGAAAACACTTACCCACACAGACAGCTGTAAGAACAGTTACTGTGTAAGGCACTTACATGATTAAATCAGCCCATGAAATTCCTTGAACTTACTTTTGTGTCTTATTTTCAGCTACAATGTATGTGTTATAGCACAAAGATCTGACAGTTATGAGGCAAGTCTTAGTGAACTGTCAAAAAGAAAAGCCCTTTCCCATGGGTAGAATCTGAAGCAGGATGTCTTGCAGATTTCTTTATTATGCCATTCATTTATGTAAGAACAGGTCAAACATGAAGGACATTTATGTGGATTTTTTGCATTCTCCAAAATCACAAAGTGAGAGGATAGGCCTATAAACTACAGATTGCTGCTTACTTTTCTTTCTGTTAGCAGCTGGATGTTATGGCAGTTCTGAAGTTTACATAGACATTTCACAGTTCACAGTGTAGCATCTGCAAAAGCAAGATCAGGTACAGTCTTACTTTTGTTTTCCTTTTATGCATAGGATTATCTTGTACTGGAATTCCAGAACAGTGGAAAACAAGGAAGCCAAAGAAATACAAAAGTATCATGAAAAATACTGGATAAAAAGAGGGAATGAAAGAAAAAAAGAAAAGAAAGGAGGAAAGAAAGGAGGAAAAGAGGAAAGAAAGGAGGAAAGAAAGAAAGGAGGAAAGAAAGAAAGTAGGAAAGAAAGAAAGAAAGAAAGAAAGAAAGAAAGAAAGAAAGAAAGAAAGAAAGAAAGAAAGAAAGAAAAGAAAGAAAGAA